GTACGTACATAATAAATCGATCATCCTCGTTACGCTACTTCTCGCTTCTGTATAGATTTGTTTTTTATATGCCTTAAATTTATATAATTGCTTTCACCAATTGTTAGCAGAATAGTTAATGTCATGTTATATGAAAGTATGTATATTTATGTTGGATTATATCATCATTATAAATCAATATTATTTACATGTATTGTATCACATAATTATTTGAAATATATAAAGTATAATTATTTTACAATAATATACAATTATATAAGGTGATTACCATTAGGAAAAGTGAATGATTATTTAAGAGAAGCACAAAATCAACTCTGCCGAGCAAAGCGATGGAAAATTGTATTCTTTTTCAACATATTCAAGAAATTCTGTAAGTACGAGAATCCTAATTTGCCAAATCCAAATAAATAAAGATTAGAAAGTTCTCGTCACACCATTATGTTCAACATTTTTCAAGTATCACCTTATTGACAAGCTAGTAAACTATCGCTTCAACATAACAACGAGAGTAACATCTCTCATGGAGAACTTATTTAATCTTCATTCTTAAGACGATAATAATTATAAAATAATGACCTTTGAAAATATATATAATGTGAAATTCTTAAGTGAAATTCAATGTCAATATCAATAATAAGTTCAATGTCAATATTAATTAGAGTCATATCTTTAATATATTTGGTGAGAAGTTTGTTAATCAACTAAATTACAGTTTAGCCCATAAATATTTGTAAAAGAACCTCCCGGGAAGTATACATCTCACCATCTTCATCACTGTTTTATTGAGTACTTAACAGTAAATTGATTATAAATATTATTCTCTTCAATTCTGTAGGCATATCTTCTTCCATCATCTTATCTTAAGTAAACAATCGCAACTCCACTTTACTTTTAAACTAAAACTTTGATTTTTTTTTTTTTAAATACGCATAACACTTGAGCTTTATTTGACAAAAAATATATCTATCATACGTGTATAATCGTAAATAAATAACATGAAATAACTATTTTTACTCAAAGATTTAACTTTCATAGGACCATACTTATTGGTATGTATGAATTCATGTTTCCTTACAACTAGTCCTATACAACTTGTAAAGTTAACACGCACTGCATACACCTTCACAATTAGCTAACATAGTTATATTAGCAACCATTATACTCTTTTACATAAATTTCAAAGAGTCAAAGTTATAATGATCAAATTTTTTGTGTCGCGACCAAATCAAATTACCCATAGGAATAATGTATTGTATTTTAAAATTGTTTCTTGATGAATCTACAAATTTTTATTATTTTTTTAAAAAAAATTATTTCGTGATTTAATTTAAATTTTGAATTTAAGTTAATACAAGTATTTTAAGTTAAATTAAAAAAATATTTTAAAGTCTAAGTTTTGTTCAAAATATAATTACTACTATTTTAATAAAATTTATAGATAAAAAATTATATTTATTATAAAATAGTAGGCTCGTTCTCCGTATACGAGAGATCATCAACATATTTGTTGGCTATATTATTGTTTACAAAAATTGTTAATAAAAATATTTATATTATGATTTTGGATCTCTAAATGCTTAAAACCATTGCATTTGAGTTTTTCTTTAAGACAATTTTGTTATTTACTTGTAAAATTTTTCAAGAACTACGTTATAGAATATAAAAAAAATAAAATTAGAAGACCATTAGCCACAGTAATATAATTAGGTTATGATTTTAAAACTTTTTTTTAAAAATAGAGCAAAATAAAATTTAAACTCGTAAAAAAAAATGTTATATCGTTTAAATTACATACAATTGATTATTATTACTTGATGGGTTTTTTTTTTTATCTATAAACGTAATAAATTTAGAGTTTACTTCAATTTGATTCTACTAAATTAACCCGGTAAGTAGATATCTTTGTGTTTAAGTTAAGCGAAATTGGTTAAGATGTAGAAGTTTACAAACTTAATCTACCATCTATGCATATTTTTTCAAATCAATTAATCAAAGCCGTAAACATGACGGCAACTATATATGTATATATAAACTATACATGTACATAGACTACTTAAAGAAGCTATACATGTACATATATCAATTTTGGGACTCTTTGCCTCTTTTGGGTTAACTGCAAAGATGGAGAATCTTTTTCTCCTAAACAGATACGGCAAAAAAAATGTGACACATTTTCTTCAAATAATTTTCGCCAATACGAAACTTTCCCACCATACACGTAGTAATCAAAGATTAATCCCAACATTTTTCTTAATAAATTACATATTTTTCGTAATTATGTAGTATAATATGTTAATTATAATATAAATTATGAGGCTATATAAGCAGCATTACCCACGAGATCTTTGAAAATCAGAAGAAAAAAATTAGAAAAAAAGGAGAGGAAGAAAATGGTTAATCATTTGGAACAAGTAAAAGAATTTGATGAATCGAAGGCTGGAGTAAAAGGCCTCTGCGATTCATCCCTGACCTCCCTCCCCACCATGTTCATACAACCCCCTGAAATTCTCTCCACACTCCGCCCACCTTCTTCTCCAAAACCCATCACCATTCCTCTCATCAACCTCGCCGGCCGCCGCTCCACCGCCGTCCAGAAACTCACAGACGCCGCACGAACCTACGGTTTCTTCCAAATCATCAACCACGGCATACCCGTTTCAGTTATCGACCAGACGATCAACTCTGTCAAAGCTTTTCACGAGCAGCCAAACGAAGCCAAGGCCCAGTTGTACGGGCGCCAGGTGGGGAACCCGGTCCAGTACTCGACCAACATTGACTTGTACCGGTCGAGTGCGGCGACTTGGCATGATTATGTTCAGGTGAAGATGTCGCCGGAGGAGGAGCGGGCGAGGCCGGAGGAGGTGCCGGAGGTGTGTCGGAGAGAGTTGGGTGAGTGGGATGGGTGGGTGACGGGAGTCTGTGAGAAGGTGATGGAGATGTTGTGTGAAGGGTTGGGTTTGGAGCAGGGGAAGTTCAAGGAGTTGACTTTTTATGAGGAGAGAGTTCTGGTGGGCGTTTACTATCCGCCATGTCCACAGCCGGAGCTGACTTTTGGATTGAAGCCACATTCGGATCCGTGTGTTTTAACAATTTTGATTGAGAACGGGGTTCCAGGGTTGCAGGTTAAGTTTGAAGATGAGTGGGTTGACGTGAAGCCTGTTCATGGAGCGTTGACTGTAAACGTCGGTGACTTTCTTCAGGTAATCCATCCAACATATACGTATACTATATACATATATATATATCTTATGAAAATATAATCTCTCAGTCAAGAGAAAAAGATGAAAAATCACAAGGTTTTAAGATTTTGGTTGGTTCAACACATCCATAAATAAGAAAGAAATTAAAGTTTCCACTATAGTGTCTAAGTCAAACTATTCAATACAAAATTAATCCTATATCAATAATATATATATATATATATAGGAGGTGATTGAATATAGATAAGATTTTGCAGATCGTATCAAATGATGAATACAAAAGTGTCAAGCACCGAGTGTTGGCAAACTCATCGGAGGAAGCAAGAATCTCAGCTGTGATGTTTTTCAATGCTAACAAATGGAATGATTCGGGTTATCTTGGACCTTTACCGGAGCTACTGTCGCCGGAGAAACCAGCCAGGTACCGAGACTTCACCAAGCAAGAATTTATGACCTCCTTTTACGGGAAGGCACTCGATGGGGAAACTCTCCCTGATAAGACAAGGATTTTATAATTATTAAATTGTTTAATCAGTCTACTTGTATTTGAATATTATTTCTTCTTACTACCTGCACTCTCTGTGTATGCGAACATACACAGAACCACATATATAGATATATATATATATATAGATATATATATGTGTGTGTGTATATGTATCTGTACGTAATTTCTCGATTCATCCTCGTTTCACCACCTTCATGCTTCTTTGGGAACGGAGTCGATTTGGATGAATTTTAGTATTAATATTATTAATCATTGCCATTTCTTAAATATTAAATCAAACGTAAGAAATATATTAATTTTAAAAATAACTTGTAGTAATATCTCTAACCAGTACATCTAATTAAGTCATCGTTTTTCACAGCTGCCATTGGACGAGGACAGTCAATTATTAAAACCATTAGCATAGTATTTATAACCCATAATTCAAAAGTAATCTTTCTTCAAGTACATAGATTTAAGTTTGGTTGGAATCATAAAATCTAATCTTTCTTTTGGCATTTATAAGACGAGATTTGCGAGTCAGAATATCAATAAGCCTCGAGAGTTTGAGCTCATAATGGAATTTTTCCATTCGCACATCTAATCGACTCATCATTCTCGCTATTACAAAAAAAAAGAGAAATCAATTTTTTATCAGCAAAATGGAAATCCAACCACGACCAACAACTTCAACTAAAAATATATTTGGAACTTGAAAAAACTATTAAGGCAAGACAAGATTTCGAATATCAATTTAAATGTCTCTCACTTGCAAAAGAAACATCTACGGTGCCTACTGGTTCTGAAATGTCCATGATCTGAGTTCAATGGCGTGTAAATAGTACGATACTAATTACCCAATGAGCTCGGAAATGGGATGATTCAAATCCAATATAAAGAATGCAGAGATGCTTCTAGCACAAGAAATTAGGTGAGATGCAAGAGGAACCCAATAGGAAAACCCTAGAGGGGAACCCCGTAGAAAAGCATTGATGTCGCGCAGCTATGACTCAAAACGCTTCCATGTTTTGCAAAGGAAGGCGATCTTAAGGGCTGCGCTTTTGCAACGGGGGATTGATTGTTGCCATGCAATGAAAGAATTAGAGAAAAGCTTTACACAAAATGGATGGAAAAAAAAAACAGAACAATTGAGAACCCTAATACTAAAAAACCCAGCCCAAAGGAAAATTAAATGAAAAAAGAGAAGAATACTTGAGAACCCTAATAATGAGAATATCAATAAGCCTCAAAAGTTGAGCTCAGGAACGAACATCGAATTGACCATCTTCTCACGGTTTCCACTTCATAAGCACAGTTGTACAGAAGTGACTAGGGACCAAATATGAAAAAAATCACAAGAGCAACGCCTTAAGAACAATATTTAACTTATCTAAATAGCAAAAAAACAAAAATTTAGCTTGAAACAAAAACCCTCTGTCAACAACAGACCGGGTTTGTCGAAGCAAACATTTTCAAGAAAAGTGATAGTTATAAGCATGATATGAGAATCCATAGATAAAATAACTGAAGAATGAAAACATAAGATTGCACCTCTAGTTTTCCAGTTATGGAATTCATCTTCAATTCCTTCAACAAATTTGGTTCCCATTTAAGTAGATCAACCACTGTTCTAGAATGGACATAGAAGAATACTAATAACTCCAACAAAAAAAAAAGCAAATGTATGAGTCAGAAACCATGGATCAAGCTCTTGCAGCATAGAAAACGATCTTCATAAGAGCTCACTTAATCTTCTTCTTAGGCCTCAACTGCAGGGAGAAAAATTATTAGAACAAGCAAATATTCAAACAAAGAAAGACAATCAAAAATAGAAAACCAGATGCATGTAAAAGTACCTGATTGCTGTGACCACACTTCTTCTTCCGACAGTTTACGGCCCTTGGATGCAATCGGGCATAACATCTAGCAAAAAGAACAAGTTACAAACATAAACCAAAAAAGAACATTCAGTAAATCTAGCATTGGCAAACAAATAAAATTTGTAAGAATTATCAAAAAACAGATTTCTTTCTTGCTAGGCACACTAAAATCTAAATATTTAATACGAGATAACAGTTTTAGGATATTGCTATGCACACAACAATCTCAATATTTAATCATTATACAAAATGTACCACCCACGAAAATCAACTGCAAGTAGAAGATAACAGCTGACAAAGTAAAGAATGGCAATCAATATAGGGACTATGATGCCCGCTGTTACATATTTTTGCAGCAAAAGTGGGTTCAACATATAGTCCCAACATAAGAATTTGATATAAGTTAACAAATCAAAATCTGCGAATGTTCAACCAATCCCAATTCAGCGGCAAGAAACTGATCCCAGCTGAAAATTCTAAGAATGGAAAATCAATCTAGGGAGCCTGTATGACCTCTCTCGCACTACAGTAGCATGAGAAGCTAAGTGAAGCCCCATACACAAATATCTCAAATAAAAAGATCAAACCAACAAATCAACCGTACGAAAGGAAATACAGAAGAAACCCCAAAAAAAAAACTCATTAAATTTGACAACATAAAGGACTGTACACATAAATGTAGTACATAAAATAGCAAATGTTGTTATAACAGCCAGCTTACTTTCGGCAAATCATCTTGTCTTGGTTGTACTTGCGAGCCAAAGCCATGAGAGAAGGCTCAATGATTCCTCCCCTAAGCCTCAACACCAGATGAAGCGTAGATTCTGAAACAAAAACAAAACATTTAACTACCTAAAACGAGAAAAAAGAAATTAAAGAAACCGAGGTAGAAGAGATAGAAGATAAAGACCTTTCTGGATATTATAATCAGCCAAGGTACGGCCATCTTCGAGCTGCTTCCCGGCAAAAATCAACCGCTGCTGATCGGGAGGGATTCCTGCAAACGAAGTCGAAGATCATTCAAGTTAATTTTGTGGCTAAAACTGAACAAGCAAAGAAGAAGAAAACCCAAAGGTTGATGTGATTACCTTCTTTGTCCTGAATCTTAGCCTTGACATTGTCGATGGTGTCGCTACTCTCGACCTCGAGAGTGATGGTCTTCCCGGTTAGGGTTTTCACGAAAATCTGCATCTTCGCCTTCCTCCTTACTCTAACTTAGGTTATCGATTCGCATAATGAGGTATTTATAGTACATTTCTAGGGTTTCCGAGAGTGGCGGCGTTTTGAAGGTGACATTTGCAGTAATGGGCCGGGCTCGTATAGTCTTAAAAAGTGGGTCGGATGAGCTATTCACGGCAGCCCACTAGAGCCACGGGTTTCTAGAAAGTTCTGTGCGCCACGTGTTTTATTTTTCTTATATTACGTATATATTTTTATTTTTATATAAAATGAGAAATTTTTTTATTGTTGGTGGGTAACTTAAATTGAAGATTTTGTGGACATCGTCAAAACACCAAATAACTTACAGAGAACGGCACCGTTTTCCTTTCCCGTTTTTTATGATTTAGGATATTTTCCCTTCTTCCCCCGTGCTGAACAGGTTGGTGCCTACACAATTATATGAACATGGATACTCGTCTCGTGATAATTGCAAATTGTTATATACTAACTGCAAGACTTAAATCCCACAACGAAAACGCTTGACTTGAGCGTGGTATTTGATTTTTATTTCCAAAATCTATTGGTAGACGAATTAGATAAAAATATTTGAAGGTTTTTGCAGGTGCTGTGATAAAATATTACAAAAAGAGCATTGCAAAAGATCAAGAGGATTCCAATAATGTCATTCGTTTATGTTTTAAACTCAGTGATACCGACATTGAACTAGAAAATTCAAAACTATAACGTTCTGATAATCAAGTTTTGGAAAACGAAATTACTCAGGCTCGATCGAAAGACAAAAACAAACAAAATAAGGTTCTGGTAATGGTGCGGTAGCTGGCTGGAATGGCATTTGTGATGTATAATGAGCTTACAACCTTCTACCCCGTCTTCCACCCTTCCTACGTGTACTGTCAGTCGGAATTGGTGTAACATCCTCTGTAAGAATAGAAATCAGATAAATATTAGTAAATTAAAGATGGCAATCGCTCGTTTAGTCCAGAGAGATCAACTCTTAAAGCTAAACCCAAATTGAGATTGAAATATTGAATCAAAAAGTACCTATGCGACCAATTCTCATGCCTGAACGAGCAAGAGCTCGAAGTGCTGACTGGGCACCTGGACCAGGTGTCTTAGTCTTGTTACCTCCAGTGGCCCGGAGCTTAACATGAAGAGCAGTAATACCGAGTTCCTGCAGTTCAAAAGGACTAAAAGCCAATAAGCTTGTGCAGCATGATAGCTTATGTATCAAGAGGCAAGTGAATTCTAACCACTTGTGCAAGAAATAAACCAGATCATATTATCTCAAACAAATTCCTAGCAATATATGGATCCACATTCACAAGAAGCAAAAGAGGCAGACCTTGCATCTTTGAGCAACATCTTGTGCCGCAAGCATAGCAGCATAAGGTGAAGATTCATCTCTATCCGCTTTGACCTTCATACCACCTGCAATTCAATGGTATTAGAAATTTTCTCAAGGCTAAAAACACAGGATATTATTCACAATTGTTTACAAGAAAAAGCAATTAAGATAAATAGTACAGGAAAGGCCAAGGGCATACCAGTAATGCGAACAAGTGTTTCCCTTCCAGACAAGTCGGTTACATGCTGCAATTGAAAAAACACATTAAATTCCCTGATTTAGGATACACTAGTATTAAGCCAGAACACGGAATTTCTTTTGTTTTTCTTTTTGAAAAGATGATCACAAGATTACTCACAATGAATGTGTCATTGAATGATGCATAGATGTGAACAACCCCAAAAACATGCTCGCCCTCACGCACAGCAGGTCCGAGGGTGACATTCTCCTCCTTGGGCTCCCTGGTTTTTCGCTTCGACTACATTAAAGGTCACCAAAAAGAATACAACACCAGAAAATAATTAAAACAATGGAATATAAGATGACAAATAAGGAAGTCATATACCCAAAGATCCATATTAACAGAAACCCATTACACTAGAGTTGATGTCCCCTGTTAATCTACAGGCTTAAAATGGGCTCAGAAAAACACACCATGTTTTTATTGCAAGGGCTACAGTTCCTCACTAACTTGAGTTTCAATTTCAATAAACTTCTTCCTAAAAGAGTGCCTATGAAGGCTTAGAAGCAAAAAGGTACATAATGTTTAAACTGAGACCGACGTATATTCAAAAACAGAAATGGCATCAAATGTAGCAACAGCATAAAAAGATGAACCCGCATGCACAAATTAACAACTTTATGGCACTTCATGCGGATATTTAACAATTATAAAGAAACGAAAACAGAACAGAGGATATCAAAAGGCCCCTATGTTGCTGTAATATCATTCCGAAACATATAGAGACACTAATAAAATCACCTTACAGTAAAATCACCTTATAAACTTAACTATTTCACATAAAAATGGCGGAAAACATATCAACTGTTTCTCCACATCGTCTACGCATCCTCATACAAACTAATCGAACCTAAGCACAGTAGCCAAAGTTCACTTTCATCCAGTAAACATTATATTCTCTGTGCAAATCTAATTCTGCGTAGACCTAATAAAATCTGAAAATAGCAATGTAAGGATTGAATCTTATTCTGGATTATTCACAGTGCAAAGCTGACATCCTCATACAAGTCTACGCTACACGCACAATCATAGTTGCATCAGAGAGTTGAAAAAATCCCTACTTTTAAGATAGACTCAAGTTGCACTAAACAAGATTTACAATTTCCTTCGTCCTACAATTCCCTTACTTCCAACAAATCAAATCCCCACTCCTTACTCGAAATCAAACTAAGAGAGTGCACCGTGAAGAAAGACATATAGAAGCTTACCATGGCTTTGAACAGATGAGAGGAGCGGCGACTTAGGGTTTCGAAAGCTCTGTGTCGACGCTAAACCCTGAACAGCCTTGGTAATAAGGAGACAGACATACGCGAGGGGGATATAAGTTTTATAGGTAGGGTTTCTGTAGATTGAAATGACGTATATACCCCTCTAATTGTTGATGGTACGGTAAGATGGCCGGAATCTTCGATGTATGGGCCGAATGGCCCATTAATTTAATAATCTATGTAATATATTTAAATAAATTTGCTGAAATAAATTTTCGATAATTAAATAAATATGCATGAAATTTAGATTTATTATTATGATAATGAAGAAGTAACTTAGAAATTAAATATCAATTATGCATATTTACATAATTATTTAAAACAAATTTATACTTATTTTTGTGTTGTTTGTGTTCATTAAAAGTAGAATATGGTGAAATTTGTAAATAATTACGATTTACCACTTTTATAATTTTGTAATTTGTTGTTATGTTGTTTGTCTTCTTAAAATTTACATATAGATATAAAATTATTAAATTATTTTAAAATTTTAATATTTGTTACAATTTAATTTTTAATTTTTTTTATTATAAATTGGTTTATAATATTTTCTGTTACTTTTAAATATTTAATTTTTTATTATTTTTTAATAAAATAATTAAATTATATTTTAAATAAATAAGAAACATTAAATATCAAATTATAATAGGTGACAAACTTTAAAAATAAATTTTGAAGAAGACAAATCGTAACAAATGTCAAGTTTGAGAGACAAATTTCAAAAACTATAGCACAACAACCGTCTCATTATACAATTTAATAAATTATAATAAGTGTCAAACTATTCAGTGGTATTGTAGAAAAATATCGTTACTGAGTTTTATCGCTAGAAAATCGAAGATAGATATAAGAACATCTGACATCTCTACAATTTCAACTTATAATAAAATGATCTACATGGTTGATTCAAACAAGTTAACCAGAAGGGCTGAGATTCACAAATAGGTTTTATTGTATTAGTATGAGATTTTTTTTACAGGAAAAAATTGGAGCCAAGGACTTCTAGCATAATAATTTTACAGGCATTATCATTGTAATACTTCTTTGGTGTAGAATGTTCAATTTTGAGCCATTGCTAATCAAACATTAGAAGCAAGGGTGAATATATAAGAGTCATATGCAACTAATACAACTCTCTGTTTGTGTCTGCACAGACAACTGATTATTTTTATAGAGAGGACAGCTCCCTAATAACCCAAACAAGGTAGAATGCATCAACATGAAAGCAACTTACAAAAATAATATGAAGATCAAATTATCATCAATTCGACAATCTGCAGCTCGTTCCACCAGGTCACGAGGTGATAAAATTGGAAGTAACGATATCAAGAAGTCCCTTTGGATTATCCACGTGAACCCAGTGGCCAGAGTTTGGAAGAATATGAACCGAAACTTTCCCTTGGGACAAATCTGCTCTCTGATTGGCAAGCCTCTCGAGCCGCTCTATTACATCGGGATCCCACCGGTCACTCCTCTCTGCACGAACAATTGCTATCTCCATCCCTTTTGGTGGGCGTTCAAGCAAAGGCCAGTAGGATGTTTCCCTAGATTATTTTATATCCATCAGTTTATGACCAAGTCATTAGGAAAAACAATCCAGAACCTCATCAGTGGGAGAAGTGGTTATCAGAGGGTGGCTATACGATGAAATATTTGTGAAGTCAGTCATTTCAAACTAGCTTTTACTGGAAAGTACCTACTACCTGTAAGAATTGAACATCTGAATGGCACCTTCAAGATTGAAAGACCACGTCTGCTGCTCTCCAGAGCTTTCAAGATTGCTGCCAATCCATTCTGACAAGGACCTTGAAAACCCTAGTTCAGTCATGTGGTTCACCAGCCACCTAAAGCCCAGACCAGAAACTCCTCTTATGAATGGTACTTAGACATTTCTTATAACGATATGCAAAGTATGACATAGATCCCTACAGAGTCTGACCAAATAGGCCAATATCTTCGACTATAATTGCTTTGTAACATCATAAAATAAAGAGTAACACCTAAATTATTACATTGCTACTGCTAGGGCCAAGATGAAGAATACATTTACCTGCACAAGTACGGGTTATTTTTGTTACCTAGCTGGGTAAAGTTTCCAACTGGAGCCAAGATCAATGATCCATGAAACAATGGATATATGAGCGCATCAAATGCACAAGAGACCTGGACTTATGTGATTAGTTGCCAAATTGTTAAGACAAAAACACTTTACTTTTGTTGAAATCAAGCTTACTGTTTGTTTGCTGCATATTATTCACTTATTTTTAGATTTTGCTGGATGATGCTTTACACGGACAATCATGCTTCACAATCAAAACAATAGACAGCCTATACATGACAGTTGAAATTTCGTATTCAAATAAAAAAAGACTACAAAAACCCAAGTGAGAATTAGTAGCTGAACAGCCACCTCGTGTTATATAAAAAAGGTCATGGTATATAGCATAAGTCAAAGTTTCAGATACAGATCTTCCTCCTAAAAAAAGTTTCAGGTAAAGAATTCTATGCAGTTGATTGAGAATGTGCATATGCCAATATAAGTTAATGACAGAAAGGTTATAATGAAGCAAAGACAACCACGGCAGACACCAATAACAGGATTTACTAATCTAGTGAAATAAAGTTAACTGAAAATAAACTCTGCACATGAATAATAACCTTTGTTGGAGAGAGAGATGCTTTACTTGCGTGAGGGGACTGATGAAGGTAAACTTTGCAATGTGTGCAAGACTTTCTCTACCTCACCATCACTGTTTTCTGGGCTCACTTCTCCCGGAACAGAATCCAGCACCCACAGCTGCTCTGCATCAAATAACACGGTAAGGCACAGCATTGTTCTCATTTGAGAATAAAATGGCAATTGCCAATCCTTTCAGGTCCATGCGAATTTTCAAGTGCCAGAGAACTATCAAGAAAAATACCCGTCGAACAAGTGGCAACAGTAGAAAAAGCAGTATATACACCACTTACTGATTATATCATCATAACTCTCAAAAGAAATAACAAAAACAAAATAAAATAAATGGGCAAAGTATATTATATTTAAGAAGCGGAAAAATAGTAACTGCACTTCCCAAATGAGAAGAGCTTTCCACATTTGCTTTGCTATGTCAAAGAACTCTGCCCTTCATATCTAGGTTACAGCAACTTGAGCAACAGAAATCTGCACCCCAGCATGGAGTGCAAGCACAAGATATGGAAGATACTAAATTTGGGTTTAAGGGAGTTAGCTTGGTTGTTACCCCATTTTGTTTGAAGTTTTAACCACTTATTAGGTTCATAATTTTGACCATACGTGATAGCTTAGTAATATAACCTTGCTCTACTGATTATAGGTAGAAAAAGAATGCTAAAACTATATATAGAAATTCTAAAGAACTGACTTACTATCCTGCAAGTTTAAAAAATGTATTATAAATTAAGAAAGAAAGCATTGTTTAATGGTCTAAATTTGCCCAGTGCCATCATCATGGGATACAAACAAACAAAGAGAACTGGACATTTTGCAATGCAATCTAGCCAACTCTGAAAAGATTCATCATAAGAAGAAAAAACAGTGGCAATGGAGCTATTGCCTAAAAGGATACCTGTTTGGGAGGATCAGCATGTTCACCGTAATGACCGAGAGCACAACTCTGAGCATATTGCAACGCAACCTTGCCACCCATGGAGTGCCCAATCACAACATCAGGCCACTTCCAGCTTTTACACTTCACCAAATCGGCCAAATCCTTAGCAGCACTCGCCATGTCATGAGGCGGGTTCAGTCCCTCTCTATTGGTCGACTTCCCGTGGTTCCTCAGATCCACCAGCGTCAGTTTCCACTCTACACCGCACGAACAAAAAAAAAAGTAAAAATATAAAATATGGATAAGTCCATCTGCTCGCCGAGAAAGTGGAGGAAAATGAAGGAAAATTGGGAATCTCCAGAGAATCTAGCATACAAAGGTACCGGAAGGAGAAGAGGATTCAGACAGGGAGGAAGCGAGGCTTCGAGAGAAAGATCGCCAATTGCGACTGGACCCCAGGAGGCCATGGAGGACAAAAGCTGTGGAATTTGAATGTCGATCGGGGGAAGATTGGATCTCTTCATAGGCTAGAGTCTGCAGTGATCTTGTGCTTGGAAAAGAAGAGCGACTAGGTGAGTTGAGGAAACGAGTTGCGAAGTGAAACCCCGCTTTGTTGTTTCTCAGCGTTCGCGCCATGGATGCCGTTGTTTCTGGAGGTCTTGGTCCATCCACGGAGACGAAGCGAAGCTAACATGAACCTCGAGTTCCCTCATAGCGCAACGATGTCGTATTGCAAAGAGGAGAGGTAAAAGAAGGCACGACGCCGTATTTTAAAAGATAAATGGGTAGGTGTGACAAGAGAGGGGAAAAAACAAAATATTATGACAGCTGTGGGATTTGAACCCACGCCCTTTCGGACCAGAGCCTAAATCTGGCGCCTTAGACCACTCGGCCAAACTGTCATGTTGTTGTACAGCAAAGCTAATTATTTTTGTTTTGTTATCGGCATGAAACATACACCCCACCACTGAAACATAAAATGTGTAAAGCCAGAATTTATAAACAAACAGTAAATAGTTAGATCAAAAGGTAAAGGGAAATAGCTTTCAGTATGAGAAACAACAATAAAAACATCAAGACAAAACCAGGAGTCCTGGTATTTCCCATAAAATTATTCACTTTCACAAATGTTGCAAACATCCTCATCTTCCATAATTTACTATCTTGACCTATTATAATTACCCTATAAAATCTCGAAAAATAGATAACTCAGACAAGAACCACTGGATTGATTAGAACCGTGCAAATGGCAAAGTAAGTATTGGTTCCCCATACTGTTTCTCAAACTTTAAAGTCAAGAGCATCCCAATATATATGGTGAAAGATATCGATCTTCATCAATCAAATGGCTCAATTCGTGGGTCATGTTCGCTAGCCATCACCATCCCCGTACAGAGGCATGTCGGGCACATTACCTGATTTGGCAATGAAAACAGTTACCAACTAGAAAAATCAGCCAAATAAAGAGTCAACTGGTTGAATTTATACTAATTAGCTGTAGTTGTGCAATCCTGGTGCTAGACATTCCAAGTCAGCTGCTAAAGTTAAGCCATAAATTATTGCCGCGATCCCCCAAAAATAAATTTGATTTTAAGCAGCATTACAGCATGAAAACTCCCATATCTTCTACAAACTAAAATTCCATACCTTTCCTGCACCTGAGCAGTTTGGGCACCTTCGAGTTGTGGGAACTCGTAAAGGGCTCTCAGAAACACTGGATAATGAGATGGGATCAATGCTCAAGCACATGCCACTTGCAGAACACCGGGCACACGACAAGTATCCTACCACAGGATCAAAAAAATATATTAATAACTTCAGATGAGAAGAATGGTGAAGATTTTCTAGTCTTCATTTCCAATACCTAGATGTATATAGTTTATACTTAGAACAAGTACAGTAGTTGAAAATGAAAAAAAAATGTAGAAATTGAAACATGCAGAAATTATTAGAAGATAATTGATTATCCAACTCATTTGTTTTACACAAGATTACATCCCCACAAGAAAATCACATATACCACTCCCATGACAGTATCTGCACCGTTTCTTCTCTTGTTGTTCAACGTTGTTAACCTCAATCAACATCAAAGCTGAAATGACACCAACTGCACCACCTGAGAAGGAGGCTACAATGGGATCGACCTGGCTGAATTAAGAGATACAGAGGTTGCTATTATCATCCATAGTTTCAATTAAATGAATCTACAATCGTAAAACAACTAAGTTTCAAATGATTTAAGCTCTAAAAGGGCAATAACTACCTCAATTGCAGTGGTAAATGCATGTTGACTATGAAATCTTTGTATGAGGTGCCTCCTATGCCTAATTTTAATTCCAGCTGCCAAAGAAGAAAAAATTAAATCATTAACAAGATCATGACCGAGCTTTCAAAGACAATAAGCAGTAGTGTAAAGAATCCATCATAAGGAGGAATTGATAATGCATCTAACTGACATCGACGTAATTGTTTATTCGATTAGGTTACCAAGGGGATGTAGAATCAGTAAAAACGGCAATATTTTAAATCTCTCCGCATTCAGATCTATCGTCATCATGTAACCACAAGAGATGTACAAAATTAAAAACATTGCCATCCAGTGAAAAAAAAAATCCTGAAAAGTATTGCTTTTAGAGAATCACTTTCAAGGACTGCCATCCAATATGAACTCTGTTTCATGTTTAAAATATTTAAAAGTAACTAACGAGCAACAAATGGATCGAAGAATGTCTAACGAGGTCATGAATAGGTAATTTTGGCCAGCATCTTTTCCATTTTTTTCTTTTCTTTGTTTCCTCCAAGAGATGTATGAATGGTTTAGACTCAAGTACTTAAGACTCCTTCAATTCTACTAAGTAAAAATATATTTAGCAATTATAAAGAAATGACACGGAAAAACTAAAAACATGAATTTTCTACAAACTTACTGTAGGTGCAATAAGTCCACCAAACATAATTATCCCAGATATGAGTGATAAGCTTGTCAAGTAGAGCTGCTTCAGAGTCTTTGGTGTCTACAAAATAGAATTGTGCTCCATGAGCTATTCAATCAGAAGCCAAAGGTCTCAGGAGAAGGTTTGAAATGGAGGAACAGGAAGAGGACTATCCCCTATTGGTTAAACATGTCAGCAGCACTCACGCTTCACCAAGTTTCTAACCATCAATATCTTCATTAGACCAAATCCAGCAACCATACGAAATGATTTTGAAACTCACCACACGGGGAAAAAAAGGAATAGATGATGGCATGTCAGGCATCTCATTTGCCTCCTCGCCACTCTCACTGATAACTTCTGCACTCTTCATTCGTTGCTGAATAACTTCCACACTCTTGATTCGTTGCTGTACCCGTAATCTCCTTACCTAACAAAAGATACGCAAGAGAAATTCAGAGCATTGAAGCACCTAAAATAACAAAATAATTCCTACCCAACAAATTTTAAACCCTTATAATTAACAATTCCAACAAAAATAGGTTTTTGACTATCAAAATCCCATATCAGATTTCACAGTGTCTTTTTAAGAAAATTGACCTCTTCCATGAGGAGAAAGATCTTATTGCGTCTACTCCTAATGTTATCTTGAATTTCTTGGAGCTGCATCTGGACAAAATCCTGAACAGTCTCTGGTCCTTCAATGATGCAAAAGTTACTGCCAAATCAAAGCATACACATAAAATTTCCATTAACAATATCAACCCTTAAATTTGCTATTTAGAAATTAGCACCAATTACTTTAATCAGTCACTTAACTCCAATTACTTTAACAAGCAAGAACAGAAGAATCCACACACACACAAAGTTCTCGTGCAACAGTTCCACTCAATTATCAAATTGAACACCAACACATAACCTCTCTCTTCAATTATAACTTACACAAGATGTATAAGCTAATTACAGAAAATTCAATTAAAACCAGAACTTGATTAAGACTGCAACTGAAAACAAAGTATACAAAAAAAATTAAAAAAACAAAGAGAAAAAAGGAAATTAGACAAGGAACTTGCCTCGAAGCGTTATCGCCGGAAGGAAGAGGACCGGGGGAGCTGTTGACGGAACAGTTGCAGAGAGTTCGAGGAGGAGACGAGTATTTAGATAAAGAGAGACGGGTAGGTTCGCCATTGAAAAAGGAGACAAAGGTTGAGATTTTGGGAGTCGGTGGAAGAAGAAGATGACAAGAGACGATGGATAGAGAAACCATTTTTACAACATTATCTCCTCATACAAACCCAAAATCTGAGAGACAGAAAAATTGGTGTATCTTCAAGACTGTAACAAGTGGGAATCTCGAGAGAGCATCTTAGGTCTTGCTCGACAACGTTGTAATTTTTTAATACTAATAATAATAAAAGAGATATAATGGGCTGTTGCCACGTGTCACTGTTCATGATCGTCTCTTTCAGGGTCGTTACCGGTTATTCTCCCGCCGGTTAGTGTCTTATCTTTTTCTACATCATGCCACTCGAGCGTGTTGCTTTTTTTTTTTTAAAAAAAAGGAAAAAATAATTTAGCATTGATGGGAATGTTTTTTTTTTTACATCCATTATATTTAATTTAATTTCGTAAATATAATTTCATAAATACACTAATAAATTTAATTTTTATTTTTACGTAATTTATTATTATAAATTATTTATTATTAATTCATAATATACTTATTAAATTATAAATTTTAGATATTTAATAAAATTTAAATTTGTAATTTTCAAATAAAGCACAGTAATCTTAATTATTACACTACTTTATTTATAGTTATTGATTAGAATATTTAATAATATAACAAAAATTGAATAACATGCGGATTAATTTATTTTTATTTTTTTTGTTTGTAAACATCATGACTAATTAAATTAAGTTTAATTTAGTCTTTTAATTCTATTAATATATTAATAAATTAAATTATAATTTTATTAAATTAAACATTAAGTGTTAATAACTATTAATTTATAATATAATAATAAATTTTTATATTTAATTATATTTAAATTTAATAATTTTAGAATAAAATATAATAAAATAGAATAAAATTTGAATAATATGTACGTTTTGTTAAAAACTTTTAAAATGATTTTTATTCTGTGGCTTTGAAGAATATAAACTTTTTACTTATTTCAAAAAAAAATTATAAAAATATTTAATTTGGTTAGATATAAAATTAACTTTTTAAGAAAATTAGTTTATTCAAATTTATCATTTTTACATTTTATTAAAAAAAATTATATTTAAAAATTTGAGTCAAACTCAATCTCACCCCTAAAAGTATTTACTTTGCTTATAACTTTATTCTCGAAATTATGTTAACCAGCACAAAATTTGTCTTTAGACCCAATTACTACCCATCAGCAATAGTTCACCAAATCCCATAGATCATATGCATATATGTATATATACATATATATACATATGTAACGTCCAATAAACAAAATCCATTGCATATCTGTTGTTTATACATGAAAGAAAAGATTAAATCTATAGTTTATAAAACATATTCAAAGCCTAGCAATTTCAACCGACTTCTGGAGAGCCTGCAAGAGACTCCTCATGATTCTTGGCTCACCAGGGGGAGCCATGTCTCTGAGTGGTCCATTTCTTATGGCTCTGAAAAGTGGCGGAGACCCACCAGCCGCCGGAAAAACCAGACAATCTATATACACCGACACCTCGGTCTTCCCTTCTCCAATTGTTATGAAACCCAATCTTGCTCCTCCTGCAATTTTATCCACCTGTTCAGACAAAACCTTTATAAATGTTAAATTTCATTTTAAATAATAAATTTAAGAAATCAAAGCATTTGTTTCGAATCAGATAGAATACCCTTAAAGGAACAGGAAGAGGAAGATTAGCTCCTTGGCACAAACTGTTTCCCCACTGGAACAAAGCCAAAGTAAAAGAAAAGTTAAAGTAATTTTCAGAAAAAATATCATAATTATAGGGAATTTTCAGTAAAAAAAAATGGTGGAGAGGAAATGAGAATAGAAAAGGGTAACAGCATGGAAATTGGTTGACAAAAAAGAAAAAAATGTTATCAGGAAAAGGAAGAAAAATAAGATGAAGGAGAATTTGTGGGTGAGCAAGCAAAAAAGTAAACCGCTAGAAGGAGGGCTTGAACCTCCGACCTTGTGGTTAACAGCCACACGCTCTAACCAACTGAGCTATTCCAGCTGTTGGTATGACAAATTTTTTTTCCTCTAGGGGAAATCCAACCTGTTAAGGATGAAAGAATGAAGAATATGGTGGAGGAGAAACAGAAGAAGAAGAAAAGCACAGAACTGGTGGAGAAAAGAGAAATCGTCATTAAGGACGGTAAGAAAACCACGATGAAGGAGAAATTGGTGAAAGGAAAAAATAAAAATAAAAGATATGCTCGCTAGAAGGAGGGCTTGAACCTCCGACCTTGTGGTTAACAGCCACACGCTCTAGCCAACTGAGCTATTCCAGCAATGCTGCCAAACTTAACAACGAAGAGACAAAGTACCTGAAAGAGTAGGGACTCGAATCTGTCAAGATCGGTATCCAGAGGCAGCTTCATGGTTCCGAGCGAGATTCCGTCTTCATTGTCGTCTTCTCCAGCCGGCACGGTGCCGTCACTTCCCGCCGATAACTTGCAAACTGATAGCAAAACTCGTTGACCGTGTCCTTGACTCAATCCACGGAACCGCATCGTGTTGGCACCACTGATGGTGGCGGTGGGGAAGGAAACCGAGAATGAGTTGCTAAAGAGTTGCGCGTGGGAGGCGACACGCGTGGGCTGGAGGAGCAGTCTCGTAGCAGAGGCCATTTTCGACCTCGTTGAAGAAGTAAAGCTGCGATGTTGTGTTTAGATAGGATTAGATATTTCTTGGGGTTGGGTGCGTCTGTTGAGGTGGGAAGTAAAGGGTGAGTTTCCCGGATGGTTTCAATTAATTTTATAATCTTTTTACTGCTTTTTACAAGCCAGTAATAATCTTTTTAAGATTAAAAAAAAAAAACAAAAAAAAAAATCTTTATTTTTTAAAATAACAAATAAAAATTCACACCGTACACTATAAATTTCTAATTAAATACGATTTAACTGCATAATTTTAATAAAATTCGATGCATTAATACTGATATTATGGCACCCGATAACACGAATTAGAATGATCAACTTCAGTGTAGAAGTGCAATATGACTAGAATTTCATGCCGAGTGCAAAGTTAAAATACAGTAGAATGAGTAGGTATTTTTCACTCCAAAGAAAAAAAGAACGAGTACGTATTCAAGCTCCACGACAAAGTTTCAACTATTCTCCATACAAGACTAAATTACTGTCTATGCTTTACGTCCTACTCAAGCATCAAGTTTGTAAGTAAGAACGAAGAAATGGAATAATCCATATAACGGCGGAACAGCAGGACTGGCTCTTGATAAAAGTTTCTACAGAACAGGAGCACCCTCTGCTATTCCCAAGTGGTAGATGCCATGTGAATGAATGCCTTCAGATAAATTCATTATGCTGGGGAACAAGCCTCAAGCTTAGGGAGAAGACTTCGCCAGGCGTCTGCAATGTTAGTTGCCAAGCGTGCCTGCCCTCTTGCAAATTCGTGAAAAGCAACCCCCATGTCTTGTGTTTTCTGCTCCTGGAAACGCACAATCTCGTCATTCATCAGTCTCACGATTGTCTCGAACCTTCTTGTAGCCTCTTCAGTCTCTGCCTTCAACTGAATCAAAAAGCCAATTTTAAGTCACACAACCATGTTTCCAAGAGCACACAAAATAGAAAATGCTCAGAAGTTGACTTGCCTCCTTATACTCAATTTCTGCTTCCCCAACCTTATCAGATC